GTCAGGGAGGGAGGCGGAGGTCGAGGTGGGGGGAGGCGGGCGTTGTGGGGGGAAGGGCCGGGATGGAGCGGCAGGGGCAGTGCCAGGAGGGCAGCCAGCATGCCCAGACCTCACGTCAGGACGTGAACTGGACAAGCGCTGCCAGGAGGGAATCAGCAGGTGTTGTACCTGGGACACTGGAGGGCGTTCAGAACAACCCGGGGAGAGACCCAAGGGGAAGGAAGGGAGCCGGGGCTGGCTGGTGGGTGGGGTGGACGTGAGCTCAGAGGTGCCCAGCGAGGGTGGGGGTGGGGCCAGCACAGGCCTCACAGGATCTGGGGACAGAGGGCGGGTGGAGGCAAGTGTCCGGCTCTGCTCACCTGAAGCATCCTCGGACAGAATGGAGGGCCTGCGCAGGCCCTGCCGGTTCCAGCCTTTGCTCTTGCTATGGCCCTCCCTGAGGGCTGTCCCGCTGACACCTGGCAGAGGTCTGCCCGTGTCTCGCCGGTGGGGCCAGCTGGACGACTTCTCCAGGGGGTGGTGGCCAGGTCTCTCTGGAGGTCTCGCCCAGCCCAGCTCCGATCCTTGAGGGCTGTTGGCCCCCTCCTGAGTGGTTTCTCTCTTCGAGGGTCCTCGGGTGGGGCCCCCCGTCTCCTCTGTGAGCCAGGACCCCTCCTCTGGGGGCCAGGCAGTGGTGGGGGACGAGAGGCTCAGAAGGTTCGTCACGTTGCTGAAGGCCATGCTGGGGGCCATGTCACTCCTACCCCTGCTGGCAGGCGCCAAGGGGTTGGGGGACAGGCCAGTGGCGGGGGGCCAGGAGGTGTGGCCTGCCAAGGGGGCCAAGGCTGCTGACCAGTCCTGGCTCCCCGGCCTCAGCCTGGCCTGGCCCCCTGCACTCATGAGAGCCCTCTGAGTGCTCCTGCTCCTGGCTCTGGCCTTAGGGGGCAGAGGGGGCGGCTCGGTGGGAGGGTCCAGGGTGGGGAGGGGGGGCAGTGGCTTATAGGTCCTGGGGCTCCTGGAGGAGGAGCTGGGGGAAGGCAGGGGCTGGGGGCCATCGGGTGTCGGGGGCAAAGGCTTGTTGTATCTGTGCCTGGGGGGCAGAGAGGTCTGAGTAGAATGGGGTAAGTCCAGGGTGGAGGGCAGAGGCCGGAGCTGTCTTGCCACAAGGGGGTCAGCTGGGACCTTGGGGGTGCCGTGGAACCCTGAGCCGAGGGCCAGGGGGGCTGGATAGCTGGGCTGCTGCAGTGTCGGGGGCATCGTCTGGAGACAGGTGTCTCTCTCCCCTGTAGGGGACAGAACGTGCCTCTTCTCCAGGGGAGGTGGGGGCTCTGGGACCCTCCTATCTACAGAGACCAGGGGTGGGGCTGGGGCTGAGCTATGCTGGCAAGGGTGGGCACCACCGGGCCCCTCAGGCTGGGAGTGGGGCACCCCCAGGCTCTGCCATAGAGCGGGTGATGCCGTCGGGGGTTCCAGGGTGATGCTGCTGTCCCTTCCACTCCTCCTGTTCCTCCTTGGGGTCACAGAGCCATAGATGGCAGGTTTGGGGGGCCTCTGGGGTGGCTCCGAGTGGGAGAAAGAAAGTGACCTGGCTGCCAGGTCCGGGGGGAGCTTGGTCCGGGGGGGGCCAGTGAAGGAGCTGCTCCTTAGGTGCGGGCCAACTTCTGAGGGGCTGGCCACAGGGTTCTGTAGGGGGGACCCTGAGGGGCCGGCCACAGGGCTCTGTAGGGGGGACCCTGAGGGGCTGGCCAGGGAGCTCTGTGGGCGGGACCCTGAGGGGCTGGGGCACAGGTCCCAGGTGGCCTCTGTGGAGGGGGAGCCACGGGGGGTAGCCATGGGGGTCTCAAGAGCCTCACAGAGAATGGGACTGTCCATGGAGAGAGAGGCTCTGGAAGCTTCTGGAGATCCTGTAGCAGGACGTATCTCCTCTGCGGGGCTAGCGGGCAATGAGGTGATTGAGCAGGGAGAGACCTGAGTGGGACTGCCAGGAGCAGAGTCCAGTGTCCATGGGGGTGTCCCCAGTGTGCTGGCGGAGATGGCTCTAGCCCCCGGCCCCTGCTTGTGCCCCTCTCCCTGGCCTTTCTGAGATGCATCTTTGTCAGAGGACACCCAGGCAGGGACAGGGCTAGATGGGGACATGTCCCCAGCCCAGGAGTCTATCTGAGCCTGGGGAACCCCAGTTATAGGACAAGAGGCCTTGAAGAACACGTCACAGGGAGGAGGGATGCCTGGGGGCCTGGGAGCCACAGTGGAGGGGCCATTGTGCTCTGCCTGCTCTTCCCCGGCCCCCAGCCGGTCCCCAGCCTGGTCCCCTGGCTCCCCCTCACCTACCCCTGCCTCTTCCCCCTCACTCACCCCTGCCTCCTCACCCCACTCCTCTACTGGAATCAGCTCCCTGCCCAGACCCTGGTCTTCCTGCTTCCCAGGCACCTCCTCCAGCTTTTCCTCAGGCTGAGCATCTACCTCATTCTCCTCTGGCCCCGGCATCTCCCCTGCCTCTCCTTGGCCCCCACGCCTCGGACCCTGGGGCCTCGCCGCATTCTCCTCCTGACCCCACTGGCCTTGAGTCAGGCCTCCCAGCCCCCTAGTCCCCAAGCCCTCCTGCCCCTGCTCAGCGTTCTGCCTCTGCTCCCCCCTCCTCCCATTAACCTGCTTGTCTGTCAGCTCCTGCACCTTTTGGAACCCCACTTCCTGCTGCCCCTGTCCCTCCCACCCGGGGGCCCCCTGGGGATGCATGCATCCTGCTTGCCCATGCCTTTCCTGTGGCTCTTCCTGGGGCTGGGGGGTACCTGCAGGGCACTCTCTCCAGGGTGGCCCTAGGGTGGTCAGAGCAGGATTGTCTGGGTAAGCTCCCTCCTGCTCGTCTGTGTGCCCGGCTCCCCAGGCCACAAGTTCTGCCTCCGGCCTGCTGTCCCATTCACTGGGATCAGGCACCACGTCCAAACTGTGCCCCGGAACCAGGTGGTCACACAGCTCCGGGTAAGCGGGCGTCCTGGCCTGGCTGTTGGCTGCCCCTTGCTCGGCTGCAGGGGTCTCCTGGTTGGCTGTAGGGGTCTCCTGGTCCATTGTAAGGGTCTCCTGGTCCATTGTAGGGGTCTCCTGGTTGGCTGTAGGGGTCTCCTGGTTGGTTGTAGGGGTCTCCTGGTTGGCTGCAGGGGTCTCCTGGTTGGTTGTAGGGGTCTCCTGGTCCATTGTA